GGAATATGTTTTTGTGTTCATTGCAGTGAGGAAAACCTGAAATCCATCGTTCCAATCTCAAAGGTCAAGAGCAAAGCGCATCACTGGACTAACAGGATACTTCACGAATACAAGGTGTGTTTATTTCACATAATGCCTTGGCGAGCAGAAGAGACTAATTAAATCTCACTGACCAGCAATAAGCTTTAATTAGTCTCTTCTGCTCGCCAAGGCAGTAAAATATATTAGGAAATAATTTATAAGGACTGATATAATTTATTCCTGTTATCAAATCTGAATTTTCAGCACTATTACTCCAGTTTTCAGTGTCACATGATCCTTCACAAATCACTTTAATATGATAAATAACTATTTAAATAATTTTATTTAAGAATCTTACTGGCCCCCAAACTTTTGAATGTTGGTTTCTATGTATAAATGTTTATGTTTGTCTGAATCTGCTCTGATTTCCTCAAATCTTGGTGTGTGTAGAGTTTGAGCACAAGCGAGGGCGTGAGTAAAGAGATGCACCACCTCCAGAGGCTCTTCCTGCAAAACTGTTGGGATATTCCCACATATGGAGCGGCTTTCTTCACCGGACAGGTGTTCACCAAGGCCAGCTCCAGCACACACAAGGTCATCCGAGTGTATGTGGGTGTGAACACCAAAGGCTTGCATCTCATGAACATGGAGACAAAAGTGAGATTTTAATGACTTAAATGCTAATTACTTAAATAGCATGCTACTATAATGCTCCGAATTCTGCTTTTGAGTCTCCTGCAATAGATTTACATGCATCCAAGGTCAAAAAACACTTTTTCATAGTATACATTCAGCATCAACTCGTTTCTCAAATAGTCTGAAAACGGTTAGTTTGAAGATTGAGTCTCATTGCGACAACCTGAACCAAACTCTTCCAGTTTCGGCTACAACTACAGTGTTTCACGGCCAATAAAAACCATAGACTGGAATTATGCAAATTTGGGTAACACTTTAGTTTGCAATGTCCTTGTTACATGTATTTACTATAGTAATAACAGTTAATTATGCATAATTACATGCAACTACCCTCAACCAAACCCTAATCCTATAGTACATGTAGTTTTAATAATATTAGTCAATGTATAATTGCACTGTAACAATGACACCTTAAAATAAAGTGTAACCCAAATTTGTTACATATTTACTAGGGATGCACTGATATGAACATTTTGGCCAATAGCGATAATGTTTTATATTTTGCTGATAACCGATATGTTGGCCGATCTAAATCCAAATAAAAACAAAAGTCTCCCCATTAAAAGCCATGTCCCAAGCACACAATTATACTGTATATCCTCATTATTTTATGTAGCCGATATTAGAGATGCACCGATTGATCGCTTTCTATTAAAGAGAAGATGTGTGCTGTAAAGTGGTTTGAAAAAATGAAATCGGAATCAGCTAAAATCGGTATCGGCAGGTCAAACTCAAGGAAAAATCAGAAATTGGGATCGGCCTACAAAACTGTAATCGGTGCATCTCTAGCCGATATCCTTTTCATAATCCAGTCATATTTCAAGAAATTTCATGATGAACAAGTACACATCTGAAGTGTCTCAGCTGAAGGAAATACTACATTATTTATCAGCCTTAATATATAAACCACATTTTTTCATCGGGGCAGTAACGTTAACGTTAAAAATGAACATATATCGGCCGATAGCGATATGGTGACGAATATATCGCGCATCAGTAATTGTAACGCAGATATATTACAGATGTAAGACTGTAATTACTGGCGACTCGTTTCTTTAAGGCGAGACACGGCAGGCGAAACATAGTTTGTTTGGTTTTTTTCACTTGTCAATTTTGAGATTTTGGGATATTTGTCTTCAATAGCATGTCTTTCAGACTTGTGATGGAAAAAAATGGTAATAATTTCCTTTTTATCAGCAATCAACCGTGAAAGTGAAAGAGGGGATTTAACTCTATAACTATAATATTAATACCTTTTATTGAATCTCATTGGCTGATGCTAAATCTTTAAAGTCCGTTTTCTCAAAATGAATGAATTTTCTCTCATACTCCAAGTCTGAAATCTCCACTTCAGTAGCACTATACACACCAAACTGTCCAGTCTTGTTGAGGGATTTGTAAATATTTCTAGCTTAATTTATATATTATTTCATTCCAAAAAACAGCCTTTTTAAGGCTATTGACAGTATATTCTGATTTATAGGATAACAAAAGTAGATTTTTTTTCTCCATCTAATATGTGAACACAATGAAAAAATAATTTTGGAACCTGGATTTATCCAATACTCAGATTTCATTTTAAAAATATACAAATTAGTGCATGTTTAATTAGATAATAATGCATAATTTGCATATTTAAACATTAAATTACAGAAAACATGTAATATATTTCTTTCTTATCTTAATGTAGGTAATCAACAGGGAAAGATTCATGGTGATATCTGCTGGTTAAAAAAAATACCCTATTCACCTGTAGTGTCTCGCCTTTCAGTTTTGAAACTTTGCAGAGTTTTTACATTCACAAACAGCTTCATTACATACTACATGAAAGGTCATATTTCAAGAAGCATAATCGGGGCACTTTAAATCACATTTACATGGATTATGTCCCTCAAACCTTTTATATTTTATACATCAGGTGCTTCATCTCAGTCTGGAGTATGGGACATTTATGTGGCAGCTCGGTCAGGCCGATCAATACGTCCAGATACACAGTCTGGAGAACAAGAAGAACTTTGTCGTGCACACCAAACAGGTACAAGTCTCTCTCTGCATCTCGACAGTCACCTGACGACGTGAAACCCGAGTTTATCATCTTTGTTTTCTCTCCAGGCCGGCCTCATCGTGAAGCTGCTGATGAAGCTGAGTGGACAGATCACACCGAACGACAGAGCGGTGGCAGATAAATATGCTTATGGTTGAACTTATCACTTTTTATGCCTTTTTTTGTGTAGTTGTTTTGATTGTTTTGCTATTTTAAAACTGACTTAAGAGTTGTTTTTACCAAAAGAAGATATTACATATCATCATGAATGTTAACCTAATTTACCATGTTATATTTTCTTACTGTATATGGTATTATTATATGCATTTTATAATGTCATACATTTGTGCTTTTAACAGTTTTTGTAAATATGAATGGCCATTTTATTAAAAAAGCTCATAAATGATTCAAAAATCTATTTTTTTTTTAAATTTCTCAATAACTTTGAAGCTGTTTTTTTATCCACATGCAAATCAGTAATGTTTTATTAATACAGTAATTTACAGTAATTTAAATGTAATTAATTTTATCATAAAGAGCAATTCACACCAATTTGTGAATTTGTTAGACTGACAATTTTATAATTTTTTGGTTCAAATAATATAATATTTGATATGGACACCTTGAAAATAAAGTATTTTGTTTTATATGTTACAGTGTAATTACACATTCAAGTACATTGAGTAATAAATAATAATCAATTTCATGTAGTTACTATAGGGTGTGGTTAAGGTTAGTTACATTTAATTATGCACTATGAACTTATAGTAGCTACATCTACTATATAACCAAGGACATTGTAAAATAGTGTACCATATTTTTGTATTATTAAGTGAAACATCTACATTATAACTACATTAATAACTCTTAGTCACAATAACGTATCAATTTTCCTGTGCAGATTTCCATTCAGAATTGAAACCAGATGTTGTTTAGAAGATTAATGGCTTTTCTGAAGATTCAGCCTCTATAACACTGTCATGTAGTGCTTTGCTCTAAGGCCCAACATATTAATCTCATTTTCATGTATGGTCCACTGAACGCAGCGTAAAGGTTAGAGCATTTCAAATGATTTGCTGATATATAATTTGCATAATCTGGATGCACATTTTATGGATGCACTAAATAGTTGGGTCATCTATAGCACTTCCGTGACCATGGAGAGCGAAGGTTCTTTTCTATAAAGGTTAAAGAAAGAAAATTAGCCATGGTGCCCTTCACAAAAATGTGGGTAAATTTTGAGCGAGCCCGATATCCAAAATCGCTGCCGTCGGCCAAGCTGAAAAAATAACATTTTAATGGTTTTGCCCACAGCGCTGTATAATACATGGTTTCTGAGACTATTTGCGTCAAGAAATTTCGGAATTTATTGATTTAACCTAATTTTGCCCTTCAAATTCAAGATGGCCACCAATTTTTGGCTCTTTAAATGTAAATTTGTCAAAATCGTCATAGAGCCTGAAGATTAGTTCACTTTTAAAAAAGCTTTTGCTGATAATTTACTCACCCCCATATCATCCAAGATGTCCATGTCTTTTTTTCTTCAGTCAAAACGAAATGAAGGTTTTTGATGAAAACATTCCAGGATTTTCTCCATATAATGGACTTCAATGGGGACTCCAAAGGGTTCAAGGTCCAAAAAAAGATGTTTCAGTTCAAACTGCAAACTGTTCAAAGGGCTTTAAATGATTCCAGATGATGAATTAAAAAAATTAAAATTTAAAATAAAAAAAAACTGTTTAATAATGCTTATAAAACATTGCTTATACAGCTGTTCTCCTGTTCGAACTCGTTTATCAAAATGAACGAATGTCTTCCCAAGTCAATTCATTAATTTCGTTCGTTGAATGAACCAAATGACATGAAAAAAGATTTGTTCATTTTGAAGAATGAGTTCGAGCAGGAGAGTCACAAACGCACATCACTGAACAGAGCAAGGCGAGCATTTCATGTTATAAAACTTAAACTTTTTTTTTTTTTTTAAATGAGCGATCGTTTCGCTTGATAAGACCCTTATTCATCATCTGGAATCGTTTAAAGCCCTTTGAACAGTTTGCCCTGAAACTGTCTTTTGGACCTTGAACCGTTTGGACTCCATTGAAGTCCATTATATGGAGAAAAATCCTGGAATGTTTTCATCAAAAACCTTAATTTCATTTCGACTGAAGAAAGAAAGACGTGGACGTCTTGGATGACATGGGGGTGAGTAAATTATCAGCAAAAGTTTTTTTTTAAAAAA